AGATATTTGCTGCTTTCTGGGCTTCAGGTTAAACATACTTCTTCACTGAGCCTGTTATTTGTCAGGAGGTTAGTTTGAGGGCCTCATTTTCCATTAGAAGAAAGAGGATTTTTAGACTCAGTTGCTGCTAAGGTCACACAGAGTAAGAAATCCACTACCTGGATCCTTCCACCTGCATGAGGTTAAGGCCAGCTGGCAGGGCAGGACTGTTCCTAGGCTTGTCCATCCTGTTTCCTGTTTTCCACAGGCCCCATTGTTTGAATTAGTCCCCAAGCCCTGGGCCCAAGTCAAGCCGGAGCAGCACAGACACAGGTAGACCCTCAGCCTTGGGCTGTGGGACAGCACAGAGCTGGGCCACTGCAACTCAGTAAGCCCCGAGAGCCTGTCCTTAAACTGAGGTGACTGTAGCAAAGGACATTATGAGTTATGACCTTGTCATTCTGGGAGCTCAGGTAGTCAGAACCCTGCTGTCACCTTGCCATGACTTCCTTCTGTATGCAGACCCTCTTCCTGTCTGCCTGCCACCATGTTTCACAAACCCATGAAAACCGTATACCCAGTTGTGGACACAAGGCCAAGGGTCACCCTGAAATCTTGTTAAGAGGGGTTTTCACAGCCCAGGAACACAGCCTGTGTGTCCTGGAGTTGGAGTTGTGACCTCAAGCCTGTTGCTGGGCCTGCCAGAGTTGTCTCAGCTGTTACATGGGTGAATGTCTTATACCTGGATCTCCCTGGCATTATGGGCAGGTAAGTGCCTGGGGCATCGTGAGGGTTGTGAGGGACTTGCAGTGGTCTGTTCAGGGCCTATCGCTGGGACTGGAAGGACATGGGTTCAAATCCTCACTCTTCCCACTGGCTGGCTACATGACCTGGGGTGGAGCTCCTTCCTTCTCTGTGAATTGAGACTAAAAACTGCAACTTACCTCCCTGCTATTCATGTGCAGAGAAAACAGGTGGAAAACACATGTGAATGTCCTCACACTGGGCAGAATGTGCACACGGCCCACAGTAATGTCTGCAGTTACATTACACAGCACTGTCCTCACACTGGGCAGGCTGTGCACACGGCCCACAGTAATGTCTGCAGTTACATTACACAGCACTGTCCTCACACTGGGCGGGCTGTGCACACGGGGACAGTAATGTCGGCAGTTACATTACACAGCACGGTCCTCACACTGGGCAGACTGTGCACACGGGGACAGTAATGTCGGCAGTTACATTACACAGCATTGTCCTCACACTGGGCAGACTGTGCACACGGGGACAGTAATGTCTGCAGTTACATTACACAGCACTGTCCTCACACTGGGCAGGCTGTGCACACGGGGACAGTAATGTCTGCAGTTACATTACACAGCATTGTCCTCACACTGGGCAGACTGTGCACATGGGGACAGTAATGTCTGCAGTTATATTACACAGCACTGTCCTCACACTGGGCAGGCTGTGCACACGGGGACAGTAATGTCTGCAGTTACATTACACAGCACTGTCCTCACACTGGGCAGACTGTGCACACAGGGACAGTAATGTCTGCAGTTACATTACATAGGAAGCACAGGGAGAGGTGGGGCTCTCACAGGCCATCTCGGGTCTGAGATCACACTGGAAAGAACATCCCTCTCTTTGTCCGGGAATTCTTTTAAAATATAAAGTACTTTTCTGTTTTCGACAAAGGCTGGGCTATAAGTGTGGTGGGATGAATTTTTCATTGAAAATCTCCAGAAGCCATTGAGTCTGTCTGTCTATGCTCCTGGTTCTCACAGAACAGGGTGGTCCTCCTTCTGCACCAGGCCTCAGGACCATTGAGGTGTCATAGCAAAGCTCTGAGTGAGGTTGTCTCCCAGCATGACCCTGTTCACTTCCTGGGTGTCGTATCTAAGTAGCTAATATGTACTTTTGCATGTGTGGTTGGATGGTTGGGGTCCTGCCACAGTCACAGTGACTGTGTGGCTATCGTCTCCAGGCTTGTGCAACTCCATGCATAAGGAAAGCTGTAAGGTGTGCCCTCATGGCCCTTCCAGCTCTGCATCTGCCTCAGCCATTCAGTGGCCATCTCACCCCACACATTCCCCACACCCTGCCAACAACTCCTATTGCAAGAACAAGCCACACACCAGGGTGCAGTTAGGATTCTAATGATGGGGTGATGATAGCAGGTGTGGAGAGCATGG